TACCCGCCTCGACTAGTTTTTAACTAATTGTGGGTAGGCACTTCTCAAATTGTAATTGTAAAATTGTAAATTGCATGTCAATAATCAAATTGTAAATCATAGTGTTTGTTTTTGATGGCGGTAATACTACGATGATCAAAGAAATCTTCCACTGATAACTGTAAGAGTTGCTTGTCAATTCTTGGTTGAGCAAAGAACTTGTTGAAAACAACACTGGGATCTGGTACAACCTCATCGTTTTCAATTACGGGTGAATATTAAGGTTAACGTTCATGCTAAATCCGCTCTTATTTGGTATTAAAGGCTTCATCAACTTCCAGAATTGAGCATTGGATGTTGTTTTTGATGATGCTGTGTCGTTGCAAAATTGTTTTAGCGATTTTCTTTTCAAGTTAGTCACCACGTTACGTTAAATTCTAGAATTGGACCAATTTTCATCTGTGGGAAAGCGACGATATTTCTTCTGAAGGTGATTGCGTACCCGGATTTGCTTTTGAATGTTGGGGTTAATCCATGGAAGTTGGTTAGTTCTTTGTCGTATAGATTTTAGTGAAGTGTGGATGTCGACAACTTGATCGTAAAGAGACGACCAGTGAGACCAGATATCATCAATGTTATCGTAGACGTACGAGCTGTCCCACGGGACTTTATGTAAATCAGAGAGAAAGGCCTGTAAGTTCACGTTCTTGAGTGAACGAAAGTCTATCGTTCTTCCTTTAGGTTTTGGTTGTTTTTGTCTTCTGATAATGAAGATTAAATCGTGATCACTTATGCCAAGTTCATGACGCGTGCACTGTAAGTACCACCTGTTGTCCCACACTAAGTCTTAGAAACGTTTTCTAAGGCTTTGTATGGGACAATGAGAGGTACTTACAGTGCACACGTTTTCCGCTCTGTCATGTAAGGTGCCACTTTTAAGAAGTCTCTCGGGATGTGAAGCAAGAGCGACGTCCAATTGCGTTTTAGAATGATTTTTTGTTCTTGTCGCTTGTTGAATAGTGCTAGTTAAGCAGAATTGTCTCGCAACATTTGTGAGTCCTTTGTTTGGGCCATTTTGGTTTTCAGGAGTATCAAGCAAATTCGTATTAAAATCGCCCACAAATATAATTTCCTTGCGTTTTGTATACATCTTTTCTGCAGGTATAAAATCCCAAATCATGCACTTGTTAAGTGAACGGTAGCAGGCACATAAAATAAACGAGGTATTACCACAGCGTTTCACATCTAGGTACTGATTGATTCCATTCCTGGTTCCGGGTTTTTTCTGTCGGTAAACGACGAGGTTCGATCTGATGTAAATTAATAGGCCCCCTACACCTTTCTCTCTGTCCCTTCATAACAATAGCAGATTCCATACTAAATGTGGTTCATCGAAGAAAGATTACAAATACCCCAAAAGTAACGAAAAGCAAAGTCTTATTTTTTTCGCCAGTGAATCAAACGGCAGGAAAATGACAAACCATTTAGGTGCAAGGCTTGGGGCGTTTCGAAAATCAGACCTATCATTGTAATTGAAAAATATATAGCGATTCGGTTTATGATTCGCCTTTATTCTCTAACACGGTACCCAGTCCCTTACATGCTGCAATTACACTATTCACTTTTCATAAACTCCTGCCTGGCTTGAAGTTAAGATTTTATTTTGAAGCCAGTTTAACACACTATCTTTAATTTACTTTTAGACCTTTCCTTATAATTAGAAGCTTGAAAGCAATCTTTTAACCCTTTAAGTCACAGGATTTGATTGTAAATTCTTCCCTGTAGCAGCTCCGCATTTCCTTGTGAATTAGTTATGAAAATTTCATACTGGATCAATATAACAAGTTCTAACTGATAATTTTGAGTTTTCTCATCACCTGTTTGCTGGATAATATATGGATATTATGGGGAGTTGAAGGGTTAATAGCGTTGTAGCAAAATCAATTCTTCTATCTGGGACCATTAGATTGGAGGAACGAAAAAGCTAAACAAATGAAAATGTTTAATTTCAACCGGGAAGTTATGACTAAATTGGAAAGAGCCTTGGGATAAGCTAACTGGTTAAAGTTCCATTGAATTAGTGTAAAGCAGTTCTCAACGCTTGTTTTAACATATAAGTGATGAATAGACCAGTTTATCCAACCAGCCATCTCCAAACACGCTTGCATCCTCTTTTCCGGAACTTTAAGCACCTCCTCCTCAACCTGTTGAACAAGTCGGGAACCCTTCTACAAATCCGTCTTGTAGCCCATTTACACACTCTTTTACAAGCCTTTTTTTTGAGTTTGCGTAGGAATCCCTTCCGTCTTAGCTTGCGGAAAAAAGCTCGTTTTACACCTTGTACAAAGAAAAAGAAAAAATGTCACCAGCGAAAAGAACACAAAACGAAAATTATCCTGCAGTTTCTGAAATTGTATGGGAGGCGTGGTGGCCTGGTTATTAGTGCACTGGACTCCCGATCGAAAGGTATGAGTTACAAACCTGTCCTAGTCATAGCGTTGGGTTTACGTCCACCTTACGTTGTCGCTTTTTCTTCTTTTTCCGAATCATTAACATTTTGCCTAAAAAGTAAGGAGGGGACATCTTAAATCCATCTCACCCCACCCTACTTCGTGTACTTATTCTACTAGGTGCGTCAAAGATGACAAAAGTCTGTGACACGGCTAACTCTGTAACACTTACGTGTGTAAGGATTGTCAATTGTGTCAACTATTTCGGGTTCATCGTTGGCGTCTTCAACAATGTACTCATCAGCTTCCATATCAGCCTCCATATCATCTTCCACAACCGTTTCCTCGTCAGCTTCCTCGTCATCGAGGATCACAGCGCCATTGGTGACGATATAGATTGGTAGATTGACACACAGTTCTGCCATTTCAGCACTCAGCGCTGAACGGTCTTCAAGCTCTCCCGCTACCGTCATTTGGGTTTCAGTTGAAGAAGTTGCTAACTCTTCGCTCGTTCCGGGAGATTTCTAACAATAACGTAGTAATACACAGATCTGAAAATCGGAAATCGAGCACGCGAGAGTCTAAGAATCTAAGGCAGTCTTAGTGGTAGTAATTCAGTCATTAGCATTTTAGGATCGAGGGAAGGGTTTTACGAGAACCCCAACGAACACAAGGGAAATCTCGGATTCGTAAAATTGGAGATTCTAAAACGCATTTGCACTTTGGGTTTGAGAGTACACTCACCATTTCTAAAGCTTCCTTTAAATCGGCAGGTGTGAGAGTTTCATCGATTGAATTAGCGATATAGCATGCCTTTTCTGCTGGCAAACGAACCATTGTCACTTTCTGCATGAAGGAAAAAAAAAAGAACATCACTGAAAGCCTTAAGGCAAAATAAAAGGCTAACTTTCACTTCTATAGGGCCGAAAGTGAAGCCATTAAGTTGCATTGGGTGATTTGTAGGAAAGGCAAGGTATTTTCCAGGATGGCCTCTTCATCTGGCACAAAACTGCCTCGTGCCTTCCCCCCCTAAAAAAACAATCAAACAAACAAACAGATCACATCGATGTTTACCCTTTTAAAATCGTAGATTATATCTCCTGCTGATTCATTAGGCGATGTCTTCGGTACGTGGAAAGTCTCTGTCTCCTTTATGGTGTCAATTTCAATCTGTTCGCCAAAAGTTTTTCCACCACTTGACAGCTCCAGAGAATATTTAGTCACAGCACTCTAGGAAGAGCAACGTTATTATAAAAGCGTGAATACACATTTTCCTTTTTTTCCGGAAATTTAGATTGATGAAAGTTCTGTATCCAACAAACTTCGAAACCGGAAATGCAATTAAAAATCATATATATTTAGTAACAGGGTTCATTTTTCAGGGAGTGCGCGTGAAGAAAATATTCTTCTGTTCAAGACCTTTGAGGAGCCTTTAGGAAGACAAAAGCTCATCATCGCCTATGATGTCTAAGGGTATCCTAGGATATCCAATTCACACGTTCTCTAGAGAATGGTTTTATGGATAACAACATCGTAAGTGTTAAGTATTTAAAAAGCTTTTTGTTTACATGCAAATTTTTTGGATCATCGATAGTAGGTTTTCAGGATGAATTTGTTTACATAGACTATACAACTAAAGTGGAACCTTTTTTCTTAAAAGAAATCTCCACTAGTGGAATAAATTGTTGTCAGATTATCAAAAATCATTTGTCACATTTTAATATGTAAACAAAATAATTCCATGTGCGAAAAACCGTAACTTGTATTGGCATTGTGAACCTGGAATTCCACGCGTTCTACTGTGTTGGATCGCGTGAAGTTTTACAGTTGCTACTTAATTAACCGCATGCATGATTCCCTTACAACTCTCATGAACGGAAAAGCCATTCGTGGAGATATATGTGGCAAACTAACGTCGTCACAGATCCAAAATGGCGCATATAGGAAAATTCAAATACCAACACCGATGGTATCTGTCTGCGGTTTTCATGTAAATTCTGGTTCTTGTTCTTAGTACTAAAAGGTATTTTCATATGTTTTACCTCCTTGAGTAACAAATCAAAATATGATCTTGTTCTTACCTTTCTCTCCGCAATTAAGGACATGGATTGGACAGTGATGGTCAGCAGAGAGAGACACGAAAGTAACAGCTTTAATTTCTGGTGTAAAAAGATGGGCAACAGCAAATTAGTGAATGAAGGAAGGCAAATAATGTCGATGCTTTCTAAATAGCACCATTCCTATGAGCTCACTCCTGCTTGAATTTCGGGAACTTTTTCACTCGAAGTACTTTTAATATGTTCTCCCTGGCTCCTAGATGAGAAAACCAAGGTCACTAACTGGCTTCCATCATCCGTCAGTGACAAAACAAACAAACAAACAAACAAACTGTGTCTGAATGTTAGCTTGCAGTAATGTACAGAAAACAAACGAACATTCCTTTCTTCTCTTCTAATGTAGGCGAAGGAACAATTTTGGAAACGCGAATTTAGCCCGTACTCGAAAATATAATTGTCATGCTATTATAGCAATGATATGAGTATCTACAAGCTACTGCTGCTCAGCTTCTAAACAAGCACAGAACCCTACCTTTTATATATAAAAATTTACGTTCTTCTAAGATATACAACCAATAGGCGGAGTTGAAAAAAATCTCAGGGTAGGTACTCTTCAGAAGGATGACATTAAGTCCGGGATTTACTGTAGGGCTTTGGAGAAATGGGAACGTGATTGGGAGTTCTAGATAGGAACAGAATATGGACTGGAATCCTGGAATCGAACAGAGAGGGTTTCAGGAAATATCAGTTACTTACCATCTTGTACTTTACAAGGAGTGGAGTTCTTGTTGAGTCTTAGCCCGCTTTATGTAAGTTCTTCCTTGATCTGTATAACTTCTGTCAGACAGTGAGAAAAACTGACTCTTTTATACCATTTATGGATTGTTTCTACCACCTATATCATGACGGAAAAGTTGGTCAGAGTTGTCTTTAAGGTGTTTCAGCTCTGACATCAAATTGAATGAGGATGTTGGAAGAATATTGTTCTGTTGCCTAAATATTTTTAAGGACACGATTTCTTTGACGCATTTTTTTAACAAACGAGTAGGTTTTTACCTTGATTGATATACCAGTCTAAATACTTTAATACCACTCCGAAAACCACCATATTCTAAAAATATCATGAATACATTTTTAGAGACAGGTTGCTATTTTTATATCGTGATCTAAAGTTTTCGTGAAATAATCACAGTTGCAAGACAGATTTGCCATTTTCTTAATGCAATGTCCAAATCTGTAGAATGTATGACATAATTTGGTTAAGCTGAAATTAAACACATTTGCATAGATCGCTGTCTTACCATTCAAGTGCTGAACTTTTTCCAACCCAGAACCACTTTGTGTTTTCTGATGGCCGATATTTTTTTTGAACTAGTATTGAAAAAAAAAATGGTCGAAAAGATCACCGACTACCATACAGCTACGTATAAACTCGCTTGTTTTCATAAAAATTAACATTTTCATCGGTAATTCTTTCTTATATTCTGGGGAAAAAGCAGCAGGCTATCAAGGATCTCACTGTGTTAAATGCGTATTGCCGATATATCAATAATATCTAAATAGACAGGTCTACCGTCTCGTACTTCGTGTCAAATTGTTTCTTCCCAAAACATTACCGAATTTACCACTTTTTCCTTTGAAACATTTAGACATTTAAGTGTACTATATTCTTCATTGACACTACTTTTGCTTAGCTATAACATATTCTCAAACTGTTGGCACATTTCAGCCTCAGGTTTTTAAAGTGAAAAGACTTTTATAAAATTTGATGATTGCGCCTAACAAATTCTTGTTTTGAAATTATATTTTTCCTTCGCCGGGAAGGCTCTTTCTGCGTAAGTTCGTTGAAAATAAAACTACAACGTAAATGATTACGTAAACAGAGATCTGCTGATATTTCAACTTCATTTTTGATATCTGGTAGTTCGGTGAAGTGCAATATGCAATATTGAAAAGATCTCCGAGGAACTAGGTTCTTGTTTTAATTCACATTAAAATCTGAAGTTAACGCATTCGGAGTTGCTGTCGTAGAGTTGTCGTTCAGATTTACTCCTGAAAACTTGTTTTTGGGAACATCATTTTTAAAAGGACCTAGACACCTAAATTGAAATTTGTATTTGTAAGAAAGACGAATTAAGTGGATCCTGAAAATACATTGTAATTGATAATTAATTTAATTTGCCAGCAGTTAAACCAATACAGGTCTTACTGATGTCAACAGGTCACAACTTGATATGGCTTATCACGATCACGTTGATAAGGAACCCATTCGCCGTTTGCGTATATTTCCAAACAAATGCCCTTTGGTTTGACGAATTTCCTGATATTTTTTCCAAATGAATGTCTTATTGTTTGTTTATGCTTTTTTGACAATAAAAAAAGTTTGTTTATCGTATCTCGAATGAGACAATATTGTTTTAATTAATCACTGATTCATTTCACCAACAATCTCTAACCGCGATCTTTTTATTTTTATTTCGCTGGGTATTTTTGACTCTACGCACTTTGTGACTGGTTCCTACAGGTGATATTTAAGGGATGTCGTATAAGTAGCATCAATGACAATTTTCTCTCTTTTTCTCACTCTCTACTCTCTTGTGGGAAACGAGAATAAAAGGCCCACACTCTCTAAGTATTTTGTCCAGATTTATTTAATCGTCTCTCTCCAAGAGACTGAAAAATACAGTTCCGCAGTAAAACCTCACTCATCAAAAAACCTTACTATTACGGTTCTAAATACCTCGAACGGAGGTATTTAGAACTGCACCAATGCCTCTTAACTTCTTTCCCTGATTTGTCTCGAAAATAAAACTTGCGTCTTTTTCTTGCAGAATAAAGTTGATCTAGTCGCCGCGTTTTCCCGCCCTTCAAGAGATAAATTTATTCTAAGTACCTTGACCCTCTTTTATGGCCATGTTTATTCAAATTTGCCGTCGTGAGTACTTTGGAGATTTTTAAGACTCTAAATTGAAAACTGTTTTATTTGAAGTTCTATTTAGTATCAGCGGCGCATCCTTGAAAGTATCCCCCCTCCGTTACTGCTGTTATGGGGAACTTGCAAGTAATTTCAGAACAGTTGTCGTATACACTCAAAAAGTTTAGGAAAACAATGTTTACATTCTGAAAAACACTTTTCGAAAATTCCTGTAGTCGATGAACCGTTCAGAAATTTTTGACGGGATGGACTAGAAACAGGGTTGGAGCGATATCACTGAAAACCAAATCAGCAAAGAAAAAAAATCTACCTCCACAGCCCAAGAAGCAAGGCAAACTGAAAAGAAAGAAAGGTACGAAATACAAGAAAAAAATGATCAGGTATTTGTAAGCTTGGATTCATTTTTATATTATATATTTAGCTTCGCCTAATTATCCCAGGCAGGGAGACCACTACAGCTTTAGCCAATTACAGCAGATCCCGCGTTAATGACAAGGCCACAATCAGTAGCTGCATGTCGCATTTTGTTTTTCCGCTCACCTTCACAATCACGTAAATGGTCTTCGTTAAACGCGAAAACGACGAATTATACGATGACCCTTGCGAATTAAGCGACGAAAACGAGGCGAAGGCGTCTGGGCCGTTCTGCATATTGTCTAAATTCTTTTCTACTAAGTAAGCTCCAAAAAAAAAGCTTTTAAGATAGATATGTGTGGGTATGCCAGCTGGCTGAGCTCGGTAGATGAAATAGTTGTTGTTAAAACACTTACCTAAACAACTCCACAAGACTTTTAAAATGAACGTCAGTGTACTTAGTGCTTCCGATGAACTGATTAAACCTATGACTACGTTTGCCAAAACAATTAAGAACTTTCGTCTAAAGCAAGGTCAGTCGACAAACTAAGCACTTCCACTTATAGAAGTTAGACAAAACCGTCACTATTTGGAAACTCAACAAGATAGCTTACTTCAAAGTAAATTCGGACTTTGAATTCATGCATAGCAACCAAATTATAACTATAAAAGAATGACTAAATCATACTTAACAGACTAACTAATCGAAAGTGACTGACCAACTAAACTAACAAAATTCACTTCGTAACAGTTTAGATGTAGGTTCAGTGCTTGGATTTCATTTTTACGTTTTAGAAGAGGAGGTGTAAATTCTTGTATGGCTTCTGAACGGTACCTCTTCTTAAAAGCGAGTAGATGTATGTTTGTCTCACCGACAGATAAATAAAATATTCCTCCATATCATTTCTGAAATTTAAAACCACTGATCATATGGGCTTGGTATGTGCTAATCAAATCTATTTTAATGAAATGAAATTGAAGTAAGTGTTGCCATCTGCGAAAAAAAGAAATGCTAATAAATACAAAAATCGAACCTTAAGGAAAAGCTATAATGGAAATGATAAAGAATTTCAACGAGTAAACACAATCAAACTATATGGTTTCTCTAATAACATCATTACACGGCAAAAGAGCGTCAGTAGGGACTCAGGGCGATTTTCATCAGTCTTTAATAGCAACAAGTGTATCCCTTTGACTATTTTTACCGATTTTCGGCGGTAAACAATTCCTGATCGGATATCGAGTGATATGGGGATCTGAATACAGGCATTGCATTCCCGACAAGACAGTACGTATTTCCTATTTCAAAGTATTTATGCGTTATACAACTGTGAGCTTAACAGTGTTGCTGCGCAACCCCTGTGTTGCAAAACAAATTTCCTCAATTTCAATAAGCTGCTTACTTTCAAAAAATACATAAAAAAATGTATTGCCTGTAAATGGATGAATAACAATCAAATGTATTTAAACATATACTTAGAATTATAAAAAATAAATCTCAGAATGAGTGTTTTTTTTTTCTTAAAATCATTCTCTCTACAAAATAATTAATGAATCTCATGTGTAATTTTACTGTCGGAAACACAAATTGTTAGTTGGCTTATGAAGCGAACATCTTCTCTAGTGAGTGGGAGTATGTTTGTCTCACCGATAGAAAACAGAATCTTTCTCAAAGTCAAACGTGGTCTTTAAAGCCTCTGATATGGCCATGATGGTGTTAACCAAATGTTTTTAAATGAAATAAAATTATAATAAAGCAAACAAAAGGAGAAACATAAACCTTAACCTTTAGGAATTCATATGGAAATCATTTTGAATTCAAACAAACAAATATTTTAAGCCATATAGCTCATCTGATAACACGCATCGTTACAGGAAAGACAAACCCTTAGGGAGAACATTAAGGTAACAAGTGCATTCTGTAATCTAATTATTTTACAGATTTTCTTGGGTTTACATTCTTTAAAGCCCCTGATTTTCTAAATATGTGTTAAGCTACATAGGGCATTCTTGAGTTTATTTTTCACAGATTTTCAAGGGTCTACATTGCATGATCTGATATTGGGTGACATGGGGTTCTCAACACAAGGCAGCAATACGTATTTCCTATTTCAAAGTAATTTACACTCCATCCAAATTTGTTGTTATGCAACCAATGCTTATAAAACAAATTTGCTCAAATCTTTCATGGCTGGCCTGCTTATCTTTGCTATATGCAGAAAAAAGGGTATCCTGCTGAATAGATGAAAAAGAGAAAATCCATGAGTTTTACAATCATTTAACTCGTCAAAGCTGTAGAGTCCAACAACCAGAAACGTAAATTGCAGAATATGTGCTTCTTCCTTCTAAAAATCCGGTTTTCAAAAAAACATATATATGATTGTGAGTATTATCAAACTGTATGGTTTATCTGTTAAAATCATTACACGACGGACCCGATATCTTTAAGGAGGCTGGATATAGTTTTTTACTTTTCTGATGCAAGATATTTAAACTAAAATTACGAAGCTTAGCTTTAACGAATCGCGATCACATTTTCCCCTGAAATAAAAATATTATTGAAGAATCAGTTTGTTATAAATATATTGAAAA